ACTGCGACGATGATGACGACGATGACGCCGACGGACAACGACGACGACGAAGGACCCCCCTTCGATGACGCCGACGACGACGACGACGAGCGACGAACGATGACACACGACTGCGACGACGATAACAACGACGGCGACGACGAACGACGCACGACGAACGACGATGACGACGACGACGTTGAACAATGATCGACGACGGCACGTCGGACGACGACGACGACGCCGACGGACGACGGACCACGGACGACGACGACGTCGAACGATGACCGACTGGCACGTCGGACGCGACGACAGACGACGACGACTACGAACGATAACCGATAAACGACGACGGACGAACGACGACGGACGAACGGGGGCCGTCTTTTTTGGGGTCGTCTTCGGAGGCGACGTTCGACCCTCCTCCTGCCAGAACGATGACGACGAAGAAGAAGAAGATCGGGAGGGAATGGGCGCGGTTGGGAATCAGGACGACGACAACGCGGAGGACGAGGAGGGCGATGAGGGAGCCGAAGATCCAGGAGGCTCCGCATTAATTTGCATCGTTGTGCACTGCTTGACGTTGCATTCGATTCCTTTGTCGTTGAACTATTGACGGCTTCTCTCATCCGGCCTACAGTACTGGCTCAAGGCGTCATTCGGGGCTTGCCTTTGCAACCATGGGCCCACGGGTTTGGGGCGACCCCCTCTAATGCTGCAAAGCGCGCGCGAACCTCCACGCGCTTCGCAATCGCGATTGCCGTTGCGGCCCGGAGTGGCTGAAGCTCCGGGGCGACCGCCTCCGAGGGGAAAAGCGGTTGCCGGTCGAGGCCGCCGACGCCGCTGCGAAGGCCGCCCGCCAGAGCCCCGACGAGGCAGGCCAGGCCACGATGGCGGCGGCCGCCGCGGGCGCTCCAGACGCCGCGCGCCTGGCAGAGGCGCGCGGGCCGGGGGCCGCAGCAGCGCCTGCCGCGGCTGCCCCTGCCGCCGCGGCTGCTTCAGACGCCGCGCTGCCGGCGGAGGCGCGCGGGCCAGGGGCCGCAGCAGCGCCTGCCGCGGCTGCCCCTGCTCCTTCTGGAGCATCCGCGGCAGTCGCTGCGGAGGAAGAGGTGGGGGAGCTTCTGGACTCGCGGCCGCAGGCTGCGGGCGCGGCACCCTCGGCCAGGGCCAGCTCCGCGAGCTCTTCGAGCTCTTCGGACTCCTCCGACTCGGACGCTGAAGAGGGGGAGAAGGCGGAAAAGGAGGAGGGGGAGGTGGCTCCTTTCACGCCTCCGACCCCTTCTCTCGAAGCGCAGAAGCCCGCAGCGACAGCCGACGCCTCCACGCAGCTTGCCAGGGAGGCGGCCTTGGAGGCGGCCTTGCGCACGGCGGCGGGGCTCCAGCTGCAGACCGCGGCGGAGCTGCGCCAGCTCCAAGGCCTGGCGATCGCGGGGGCCGCAACGCGACGCGTCGTCTTAGGAGCGCGATTGCGGGGGGGGGTCCTCCAAGCAGCTGCCACGCCGCGCGTGTCCGATTCCACTGCAGCCCTGACTCCCCGCGGTCGATCCACAGACGTGTCTCGACCGCGCTTCTGGGCGAGGTCCCCCGTAAGTGTCCCGCGCACGCGTCCCCCTGCAAACGGACGCGGGCGATCTAGTCGACCTCGGAAGTCCCGCCCCCCCGCTTGCGCTAAGGGCCACTGGGACCTCCGCTCTGGGACGACACGTCGGGATTGCTGCGCCGGGCGAACGCCTCGATGACGAAGGCGCCCACGAGCGTCTGCTGGATCGGAACACGCGCGAGGCGGAGGCGCAGGAGCAGGAGAGCCGGGGCCGGGCGCGCCAGGAGCACCAGCGCGCGCTCGACCTGGCCCGGGAGCGAGGTGACTGCGACACTCCTTACAGATTGTGCGGGAAGGCGCTTCCCTTTCCCGCGAGGGTCGCAGTGCGCACGCGCAGGCGTCTGCGCGGGATTGGGTGAGCTCTTCTGCGCGGCCTCGACAGGGGGCGTTCGCGGTCGGTTCGCCAGGAGCGCGGCGCGCTCGACACGGCCGTGGCCCACGCGTCGAAGCTGGCCGCGGCCCAGACGAAGGCGCAGATCACGGCAGAAGCCGCCGGGCGGACCAGCCAGGCCTGCGAGCGCTTCGCCGAACGCATTCCTGGGGGGAGAAGTGGTGGGCCACGCGTCCTCGGTCAGGGCTACGGCAGTGGCCCAGACAGATCTGTCTCCGCCGATGGCGCCGAATGCGCCCCCCCCCTTCCCCACTGAATGTGTCTCGGCGGGTGCACCGCGCATCCAGGCCGAGCACTGGCGCGGCAGAGGTCCTGTCTTGGTTCCTCCCTGGGACTTCGACGCGGCCACGGCGTTCGTCGCGTCGCAAGCGCGGAGCGCAGCGCAGGCTGGGGCCAGGGCTAAGTACCGCGAGTTCAAAGACATTGAGGTCGATATCGCTTGCGCGGTCAAGCGATTCTTGGAGATGCCAGGTGTCGGCGCGGAGGCGCTCGCGGGCACCATGGAGCGGTGGCCAGCGGCGGCTTTCCCGGCGGACAGGCGGCAGCGCGAGGGTTGAATTTTCGGGGGGCGCTCGGGCGTCGCTGCAATCGGATGGAAGGCGCGCGCATTTCGTGTCGCGTTCATTCCGAGGGCTTGCCGCATCCCGCGCACATCTCCCGATGCGGCGGCGCCGAGGGCGGCTCCCCCTGGAAAGTGCAACCCTCGCTTGATGGCAGGAGTGGTCGGAGCGCCTTGCGATCATCGAGCAGGACATGGCAGCCGCGGCGGCGGCGGGGAACATGTCGCCGGACGTGGCCGCGCCGAAGATCGCGGCACAGCTGGACCGCTTCCTCGAAGCCCTTCAGGCAGAGGCGAAAACTGCCATGCTCTCAGACGACATGGTGAAGCTCGACAGCGTGGAGCCTCTCCTGGACGGCCTGGAGGTTCTTGTGGTTCACGTGCGAGACTGCCTTCCCACGGGCGACCTCCGGCGCGCTCTTGAACCCTTGGAGAACATTGACTCGGCCAGCGCCCTCAACGTCGAGGCCCTTGCCGCAGTGGCCGCGGTTGTGCCGCGCGCTGACGCAGCGGGGAAGTAGCGCCGCAGGCAATGACGCTGCCGCGTGCTGACGTTGCCGCGTTGCTGGGTCACCTGGCGGCAGCGTTTATGAGGGTATGTTCCTCTTCCACCGCCAGAATATGCCTCACCTCTCCCCCTGGCGCAGTGTATATAGCTGAACCCGCGAGGACATTTTAACCCCAGGGGCATCTTCCCCTGGTGGGTGGCGGTCGCGGGCGCACTTCACGCCTGCGCGCAATCGCGCGCAGGTCGGCGTGGGGCGGGCTGGCGCTCGGGGCCCCCCAGGCGCCGGCTGGCAGCTCACTACGCATCGCTCTGGCGTTGCCTGCGCGCGGCGGGAGGGGGGGAGGGCGACTGCTCTTTCGGAGCTTCTGCACCGTCTAGCGAGAAAAGGTGTGAGAGATCGACGTCAGTCCACTGGGAGTGCGCTGAGCGTGGAATACGCAAATACGTTGTTGAGGCGTTCCAGTTCGGTTGAGCTTGGCATGAGGAGGAAGCGCATGTGCATGCGCACGCATTCCCATACATGGACATCTTTGCAAATTGACATCTACGCGGCATCATCAGTGAGCGATAACACAACGCGACAAGAAATACAGTCAGTATAAGCGTGTGTGTAGAGACAGAGAGGCTGCGCGCTGATGGGCCAAAGCGAGATTTCATGCGTTTCACTCGTTGCACAAGGGAAGTTGCAATTGCCGATGTCATCGTCATTGTCGTCGTCGCGATTGACATCGCCACAATTTGTCGTGTTGCCATTAAATCAAGGAGGGGGCGCCTTCAACGTCCGTGTGCCGCTGCGCCACTTGCATCTGTCGCTTTCGCACCCGACCAGCGGTCGCCTTGCCCCGCGAGGGACGTGTTGTAGAGTCTGAGGAACAGGAGCCTCAGTGGGGAAGAAAACACAGTTTTCGCTGGTCGTCCTGGAGAGTTCTCGTCGCCATGTCTTCATTCGCTTCGAAATACCGGCCAGAACGCGTTCCGTGGGCTTCCGCGTTATGAATCAGAAAATGCCAGTCTGGAAGTCGGCGATCCAGTACCGAATAAACAACAGCGATTTGCGACATTTGACTGGGGAGAGACCAGAATGCGCGAGGTTGGCGCGGAGATCTACGCTGCGGGGTCCCAGGCCCATTCGGGCACGTTGCGCCGCTCGGAGTTCGCATTCGCTGACTGCAATTATTTGGAATAGACTTCCGTAAACTTTTTTGGCTGATAGCGGTCTCTGCGTTCCGCGGCGCCTCACTGCAGTTCCGGATGCCCAGCGCAGAAGATCCAGGCCGCGCCGTCTACTTGCAATGGCGGGGTCCAGCGACGTGGAGGTGGCTGGCGCGGTCGGCCTCGACGATGACGGGGAGGCATCAGGCGGTCCCGCAGCAGCTGCGCTAACGAATCCCTGTGTCGCGTGGCCGAGCTCCTCTCGGCAACGCGGCCGGGGTCGCGGCTGTCGGCGCGCCCTGCTCGGGGAGATGGGGTGTGTTTCTTCCGCGCTGTAGCTGCCGAACTAGGGCTTCCGGGCCGCGCGGCTTGGGCGCTGCACAGATGGACGCCGATGGAGATGATAAAGAAGCAGCGGAGCCAGCAACTGTTGGAGGCGCTGCAGCTGGACGAGTTCGCCGATGAGAGGAGGGACCGCTTGCGTGCGGAGTTGCCAGCGCAGGTCACCAGCGTCGCCGCGTGGGACAGTCTGCCCAACTGGAAGGTGGCGCCGCCGGCGAGAAATGGGGTGCCCGTTGCCAAAGGATGAGATCCAGGATTAAATTTCCCGAGTAATGTTTGCACAGAATGTTCGTGATTTTGTCGGAATCCTACAGCAGGGCAGTGGGGGCGTCGCCGAGATGGCGTCTGGGTCCACGCAGAAGCGTTAACTGGAGGCCAGGAAGGCTTTTGGGGGGCATGCCCTGCCTTTCCATGGCGGGGATCTCAGTGACACCGTCGTTGCCCCCCATCCTCCCCCCAGTGCGCTGAGTTTGCGCGCGCCAGACTGCGCAGGTGTTCTACGTGGACATATGCATGGGCCTCCATAAAGAGGACGTGTCGGCAACGCGCCGATATGCAGGCGCTGTTGTGATCACGCATTTCCTGCAGGCTAGTGGCGCTCTCGCTCTGTACGTGCCATTCAACGCTTGGGGTCAGGCTGCTATCTTCCCGGACCAGGGGTTGCTGCAGGGGCGCGCGGAGATTCCAGTGCTTGATTTTGCAGTGGTCCACTATGACGTCGACGGGCATTCACATTACGATGCCGTGGACGTGGCTACGTCAGGAGCTGACGCCCCGCGACCATGGGAGCCGTCGACCGCGTGCCGGGGGAAGTTCAGCGACCTCTCCGTTTTTGCGGATGTTGATGCGCTGTTCGGGGAGAGTGATGCCGAAGTGTTTCTACATCGAGCGCTATGTCTGCTCGATGACCCAACTCATCTGCAGCCAGCGCCGCCGCCGCAACCACCTCCGCCGCCGCCTCATCCTCAACCGAGGCGGCCGCGCCGTGGGAGTCGAGTCGGCGCTGCCGCGGGATGCTCGCAGGCGGTTGCGGAGAACGCGCCGGAGAGCATTAGTTCCAGCGAGCGGAGCGAGCACTCTCTCTCGGACGTGGGCTCCGACAAAGGCTCGTCTATTTCTGATCCAGATTCTGGGTCAGAGCATTCGGACGTGTACCACCTGGCGCTTTCTCCGACGGCCCGCGCGCGCATGGGGAGCACGGCCCGTGGCGACCGAGAGGCTGCCCTTGCGGCGGCGCGAATGTTGGCATCCAAGTTACGGCCAGAACCATCGTTGCCACCCGACCCGAATCATGCAGCGAAGCTGTACGTGGACATGATGTCTGGCGTCAAGATGCCGCCGTATTCCTGCGCATTTCGCGGGTGCACATGGACGGGGGACTTCCGAGAGGACTTGAAGCGCCACCTGCGCGCAGAGCACGTTACTTTGCTCCCAAGTGTTTTTCGAGTCTCGGACGTCGAGAGCGAGCGGGCGGGTCTGTGGGACCTCTATTGCAGGGCCGTCGAGGAGAAGGAGCGCGACGGCGTCCCGACCCTTGGCATCACGCGCGACCGGCGCGCCATCGACCGTGTCCTCAACGGCGTGAACGATCGGACGTGCACCAGCTTCGTTTGTTTCGTTTGCGCTCAAGTGCACACGAGCATGGAAGTCCTCAGTTGCAACTCGCACACAGGCATTCGTTTCGGCAGGCTTGCAGAGAGGATTGCCCCCAGAACTCTGGAGTATACGTTGGGGGTGGACCTCTTCCTGCGGCACTTCCCTAATCCAGCGCCGGCTTTTTCAGGGACTGCGGCAACGGCCTACCCAACGAGGACTGGGCATTCGCCTTGGAAACGCACTTTTCGCTGGGACGACGGTCATGGGCCGCGCTGCCTGGACTTGCTTTGTTGCCCCGAGGATGTTGCTTGCGATCGCGACCCCGCTCATGCAGAGGATGAAGTGTGCGAGAGATGTATCGCGCCGCTCTGCCGGCACTGCCGCTGCATTTACTCGGACCGCCTCCCGAAGCACGGCCTGACGAAGGACAATCCTGTCGGCTTCGTGTCTGACCTGTGGGTGTCGTGCCAACCGCGCTGGATAGAGATGGCCGCGGCCGCGCCCGCGTGGACGCCCCTCATGGCCTTCTACGTGGAAGAGGAAAAGGGGCACGTCATGGAGAACGCGGCTTTCGGGCTATACGCACGCGCCGCAGTTCGCGGGAACCTCGCAAGCTTCCACGTGCATTGGGGGGGCGTGTTCAGCCGGCTCATCGACGCGACGACTCATGCGTCGGCGCGCTTCCCCACGACGCAGAGACAATATCGAAGCTCGTCCGCTTCGAGTTTCGAATGGGGGACGCGGCGTTGTCGAAGCATTTGGTAGAGATGCGCCTGCGGGCGCATGTGGTTTTGAAGCTGGGCTTGGAGCTGATCGATCGGAAGCATCCGTCGTTTGGGGCGTCGAGCAATATTGTAGCAATGCGACAGAAATATGCGGAGCGCGTCGCTGCGAGGTACCCCTGGCTGAACACTCCTGAGGATTCCGACGGCGTCGTACCCCCTGCAGTTCTCGCCGAGGTAACAGTAGGCAAGATTGCGAAGAGGGAGGCGGCAGAGAACAAGCACGCCACGCCGTCCCTAGCACCGGGCCCTATGGAGTGCGCCTTCAAAGACTTACGGCCGACGGCATGCGCACCCACGGAGTTCCAATCTCGACAGGGGGGGGCCGAGGAACGCAAGGCAGGGGCTTTGACGGGGGGGCCCACCTTGACGTGCAAGGTGGACGCGGGCATGGTGTCCCAATGGAATCCGGCGCATCCAGGTCTTGCGTGCCCGTTCACACTTCTCCGGCAAGCGGGTGGGCCCAGTTTCACCCCGGCTTATGCGGGGGCTCACGCGGGCGGGGGAGAACAACAGCATCGCCGCATTCGAGGCGCGGTGGAAGAAGGGGAGTTGAATTCCAGACCCAGCATCGAGATCGGCGCGTGGCTCTCCGGGATGACGCGCCGGGTGGAATCGCAGATCAGGAGCGATTGGCTGTTCATTCGCGACGCTTCGCGACGCATTCCGCCGGCCCGTTGCTGCGAGTACGCGGTTGGGGGGGGCGCGGGGGAGAAGTGAGTGCGAGGGGTAGTGGAGGTGGGTGGGACGAAGGGGGTTGCGCGAGTGTCTTTCGGCGCTTCACCGCGGCCGCGCGGCGGGAGATTACGTCGCGCGCTGATGCCCCCCTGCGCGGGGGCGGCGGTTTCCAGGCATGCGGAATTTATGGTTTAGATTCAAGGGGATCTCCGCCCGTTTGGCGAGCACTGTCAGGAAACGTGCACATGAGAGCACGGGCGATGTCAGCGCCCGTCTCGCGGCGGCCGCGGAGAGCCTGCATGAGAAGCTGGCGAAGGGGGTGCACGGGGAGAACAACGGGCCCATCAACGGCGATTTGACAAAGCTACCGCTTGCGAAGGGCACGTCGGCGACAGAGAAGCAGATCGTTCACAACGTGCGTTCGGTCTCGTCGACGCTGAGCGGCACGCAGGAGATTCGCCGACAAATGGGGCACGCGTTTCAGTCCGCCCCGTTCATGTACGGGCATGGTTTGTTCATCACCATCTCGCCGAATGAGAAGCACTCTTGTCTAGTCCTCCGCTTGCATAGGTGTCGGCGCGAGGACACTTTGCTTCGACGCGACAGCCCCGATGTTCAAGCTGTTCGACAGAAGCTCGCGGGGAAGACGTGGCCGAGTTTGTTCGAAGAAGCCGACGTGGAGCTCCCAGGTTTCGTCGACATGCGGTTGGAAACTGTGTCGCGGGACCCGCTCTGCGCGGTGCAGGCGTTCAGGGTTGCCGTCGTCTCCGTCCTCTCGCGGCTCCTCGGCGTGGTGATGTGCGACGTCTGCGGCGTGGCCGGTGCAAGGCCGCTGCCTCGGACGACGACGGGGGGGCGCGGCCTCCGCGGCGGAGGTTCCTTGGCCACGCGCGCATCTGGTGGCGCGGATCTCCTCGCGGAGAGGGAAGCGGGCGAGGGCGGGGGGCGCAGGTGGGGAGGGCGGATGCGGGAGAGAACAGGGGAGGGGTTGGGCGGGAAAACTGAAGTCGTGGTGGCGGTGTCGTTTGGCCCTGGCGCGCTGGCGGATCGCGCGGGCGTCGTGATCGTGTCATCGAAAGGCGTGGCAGGCGTCGTCGTGGTCGTCGATGTGCGCATGGCGATGCCAGATGAGCCGCGCGCGTGTTGGTGTTGCGCAGTGCGCGCGTGATGACCGCTGGCCCTGATAACGAGTGTGGCTCGTATATGTCGCCATTTGTGTAGACGGTCTCCTGTGCCCACGCGCGTCTTCGAGTCGTCCTCCGATGTTGCGCGCGTGCTCGTGCATGCGCGGCTTCGGATTTCCCCCTATGTCACGCGCGCGAGAGGGGGGGGGAGGAGTGAGAGAGGGGGGGGGGATGGAGCGGCAGGCCTCTTGCCGAGGCCTGGCGCCCAGGAGTGCCAGTGCACGAACCGTTTCGGGAGCAACGTGGATCCGATGGGCGGCGCGTTCGGCGTCGCGACAGCGATGGTCGGCGCGGTGGAGAACCAGCACCTCGGCACGCTGCACTTCCACGGCATCGTTTTCCTCGCGAACCTGTACCAGTTCAGCACGATGGATGGGGATCCGCAAGGCGATCGTGACGAGCCCAAAGATCGCGGACGCCGTGAAGGCGTGGCACTCCTGGGTTCACCGGGAAGAGCACTTCGATCTGGGACGCCACGATGAGATGCTGGCGTCCTTGGAGGGGGCTTGGAGGAGAAATTATCGTGATCAGGGCCATGAGACGCTCTGCCGGTGGCCTGCGTTCTTGAGAGACGGGGAAACGCAGACGTTGTGGAACGAGAACTGCGACGAGACGGCGTGCCTGGACGACGCCGCTGTCTACGTGAACGCCTACAAAGCTGATGCCCAGGAGATCTTCTCGTGTGCAGCACCATTGGCATCCGGGTGGCAAGCCTCTGTCGCATTGCCTGAAGCGTGGAAGACGCCCTGGGAACGGGGGCGGCGACGCGTGCAAGCATGGCTTCCCGAAGACGAACCTCGCCACGAAGGGCGACGACTGTGGGCACCGCGTCGTGCGCCTGCAAGTTGCTGGAGACGTGGGGCTGAAAGTCAGCGGGCATCGCAACGCGCTCGGGGAGATCCTCGGGCCGCGGAACGATCCGTGGCTGAGTGGCACCGCTGCAGCGTTCGCCGTTGTTTTCCGAGATAACACGCACACGGCGCCGAATCTCCGCCTGCCCCTGACGGAGGCGACTCGCAGCAGAGACTGCGGGTGATGGCGCATGGGCGCGGCGCGCCGAGGGCGCGCCGCGACGGAGGAGGACTGGGTGAAGGGCATCGCCAGGGCGACGCAGAGGAGCATGGCCAATTCGAGCAGATATTTCGGCGGTTACATAGCGAAGGTGCAGAGAGTGGGGAAGAAGGCGCGGGAGATGACGAAGACCTGCCTGTCGACGCTGTCGAGCAGACTTCAGGGGAAGACCGATTTTCAGCAAATGCTGAACGTGGTGCACCGTTGCATTGGCGACTGGGAAGCCAAAGGCGTCGCGCGGACTATCTTCGAGGAGACGAACCTGGCATTGTTCGCGGAGAGACCCGATCCGCTCGCGGCCGAGTGCATCACAAGCTGCCACGTGGCGACCTTCTTCGGGGGTGCGTTCCTAGCCGCCGTCGAGAAGACGACCGAGAGCGTTCCGGGCCGCGCGCCTCGGGCACGACGGACGAACGCGATGTTCACGCGCGCCGACGCGCCGCATTATACGGAGGACGTCCAGGTAAGAGGGTACGGCTTCCGACCGCTGGAGGGGGCATTCGCAGATATGTCGCCATGGGAGTTCCGGCGCGACTTCGCGCTCGTGCGGACGGCACCTCCGCCGCGGAAAGAGAGCGCGAACCGCACCGGGCGCCCGCCGCGTACACGGTGGGTCGTGGACGATCCGCCAGACGCGGCAGACGGGCCTCCTGTCCCAGGCGCGCATTGCGTCGTCGTGTCCTCAGTCGAGGAGGAGGACGCATACTTCGCATTGGAGAGCGACCCGGAGGACGAGCACTTCAAGCACCAGTGGGTCATCGAACAGAGATGTACTCCCGTACTCCCGGTTCTGCGACAGTCCCCGATGCCGAACCATACCATGTCGAAGGAGCGACGGAGTAAGATTCTGTCTGCGTATTTCCGGCCGTGGACAATGGTTCGGCGCCTCGGATCGGCGCGGTCGACGCCTTTCATCGGCGATCTCAACATCGTGCCTGAAGAGCGCCGAAAGAAGCGGGAGAAAGTCGCCCCGGCGGGCTTCCGCGCCGCGTGGAAGCGCCACGTTCGAGGGAACCTTCCATCTGTGAGCAGCCTGGAGCTGATTCAGAACGCGTTGCGCACAGTGACCACAATGCCCGACGTGGACGACGAGACTGCGGCGGATCACGGAGAGCCTCTCGATCCTTTACCAGAAGGCGCTATCCCGTCCCTGACAGCAGGACTCGTTCGATCACTTTTAACCTCTGCGCCAGCAGACGCAGAGGCTGCCAGCGCCAATTCCAATGGGATGGTGTCGAAGACAGCGCAGGCAGCGCTTTCAAGGAGCGTCGCGTTCTGGGCGCTGGACAGCAGCGCGGGGAGCTCGAGCGGCGCGGAGCGCGCGCCAGCGGCGCAGGGGATACGTTCGGCGACGGGCCTCGAGAGAGCCGCACGTGGCAGCTCTGTCGTGGCGGAGCCAGCCCAGAAAAAGCCCAAGACCGGATCGGCGGCGGAATCCTATTACCCCCAGGTTGGGAATATCGCCGACGCCGCGAAGGAGTGGCTCGAGGGTGTGCGGGAGCAGAAGGTGGCGCCCGACGAGAGGCAGAGGCGCCTCCTGGAAGTGGTGATCAACCGATGTGTCCAAGAGGCAGCGGAGGAACGCGCGGCTCAGCCGCGGTCGCATGGGAGCGATCCTCTGCGCGTGCTGGCGCTGGGGCTTCGTGGCTGCGGGAAGAGCGAGGTCATCAGGTGGCTGTGCGAGGACGGCACGGGCTTCTTCACGAAAGTCCTCGGATGGTCCCACGGTGCATAGTTCCAGAAACTGGCTCCAATGAATAGTATGGCATCCCAAATTGGGGGCACCACAGTGCACAAGTTCGGGCGTCTGGACATTCATCTGCGCACGGGGAGACAGCGCGGTGGAAAGAAGGATGAAGGGCTGCACGAAAACATGCTTTACACCGCGCTGCAGCACATGCGCTGGGTCACCATAGACGAGATCGAGAACGTCTCCGTGGGGGCGCTGGCTGCGCTGCAGAAGCAGGTGGCAGACTCCTGTCGGACCCGCGGGAATCCGCGGTCGCGGTCTGCGGCGCCGTCGCATGAGAAGCATTGTTCTGGGGCTTGAACCTCCTCCTCATCGGAGATCTGCGGCAAATCCCGCCTGTCCGAGCAATCTCCATCGCGGACAATCCGTTCGTGAAGCACAGGGCGAATCACCAGCGCATTCTGGACATGTTCTGGACCAGCGACGAGTCGTTCTCGCTGACGCACAATTTCAACCTAACGGCGAGCCATCGATGCCAGGATGAGCGGGGGGCATAGCAGAGCACGGACGGAGCCGCGGGGAGGGGTCGCTGAGGGAGCAGGGGGAGAGTGCATCGGAGTGCAGAGGCGACGACGTCGCCGATCGATCCGAGCGACCGTCGCTTCGGATCGGAAGCCGCGATGGACGACAGTCTCGGGGGGTGGCGGGGAAGGGGGGGCGGAAGAGAGAGGCGGCCCAGGTGGTGGAAGAGCTTCCTGACGGAGGCCAGGGACGGGCGCTTGTCCTGGGACATGTACAACTTCGTCCACGGCTACCCGACGTCCGTTCCAAGTTCTTTGGAGTGATGGGGGGGGGGGCTCGAGGGGTATGGGGGGCGGTGCAGAGGGCGCGAGTCGAGTCTTCAGCGATGCCGATGTCGTGTCGTCGAGTGCGATCGATTTCCGAAGTCGTCCGTTCTCGAGAGGCGACGGGGGCTCCCAAGATGGAGACGAGGTTGTCGAGAGAACTGGGGATGGATTTGTTGCGAGCCGAAGCGAGCAGTCCCACCGATTCGGTTGACGACTGGGGCGAGGGCGGCGGCGCGTCGGCAGCGGCGCAGCCCCCCGCCGCGTTTCTGAGCCCCAGTGCAAGTTCCTGGTACTGCGACGAGAATCGGCGACCAACGAAGGCCATGAAAGCGGGGAGAAGTCGCGTCGGGCCCAGGGTGGTAGAGGCTTTTGCCGAGCCGCCAGTCGGAGAGGGCAGCGAGGCGACGACAGGCTTGAACAGCTAATGTGGCCGTCGTTGGTCGGGAAGGAGACGGGCCCCCGCGGGGCGCTGGCGCGTGGTTCGGCCCGGTGCGCCGCGCTGTGGAAGACAGAGTGGGCGACGGCGTTCCCCGCGGGCCCTCGCGCGGCCGAGTTCCTCGCCGAGGAGTGCGCCCAGCGCAGCAGAGAGCGGCGGCGGAGGCGGCGCGTGGCGGAGGGCGACGACGGGATGATGGCGGAGATAGGTGATCGTTTCGCCGATGCTCTGCACATCCACCCGTTCAATGTGCCGAAGAGCCGAATCCTGACCATGCGCGCTGCCAATGCGGCGGCCCGCGCTGGCAAGCAGTTGCTCTGGGTCGTTGCCAAGGACGTCCCGAGCACGCGCGACGACGAGGTGCGGTCCGTGGAGGGGCTGACGCGGGCTCGGGAGCGGTGGCTGCTGCACCCGGAGATGAAGACCGCCGGCATGCCTGGATTGCTGCCGCTGTACGTGGGGATGCCGGCGCAATTCACGGACATGGTGAACTTCGAGTTCGGCGTGTGCAAGCGGGCGACGGGCGTCGTGGATGGGTGGGCTTTGAGCGAGGCCGACGCGAGGATGGTGCGCGAAGTCCATGCGGAGGCAGAGGTCGTCCTGAGGGAGGTCCCCGTGGCTATACGTGTGAAGTTGCACGGTCAAGCGAAGGTGTTCTCGGCCGGCCTGCCGCCGGGTGTTTTCCCGTTGAAACCGAGGGCGATGTCTTGGGACAGGAGCGACGGGAATGGCGCGGCGGTTAAGCGCACGGGGTTCACAGTGGCTCCTCATTTCGCATCGACGGCGCACGCAGTGACGGGGGCGACTCTCCCGACCGCCGTCGTTGACCTCCTGGACGTGGCGAGGGCGCCGCGAGTTGACGACGCGCCGCCAAGCTACGTGGCCATTAGCCGAGTTCGCACAGCGGATGACATTCTCATCGTGCAGGCTTCCCCCCCCGCGCTTTTCCGCATGGGGCGCCAGCGCGGCCCGTGGTTGCTGAGTTCGATCGTCGACGGATCGGCGACGGTCGAAGATGCAGAGGCGAAGTGGGCAGAGAAGACAGCGCCGACGAAGAAGCGTCTCCTGGAGCTCGCGCTTCCGTGCGCGGCGTGCCGAGACGCCGGACAGGTTCCGGGTGCCAGAGTGCAGCGCGTTGCCCCCGCTGGAGCATGCGCGGGCCGTTCTGAAGCTCGGCGCCCGGCGAAGGTGCACCCACCCAGCGGACCCGAGCCCAGCCCTGCGCCGAAGGTGCCGCTCGAGGCCAGCCCCTCTGCCCAGCGAGCTCCGTTGCTTTGAATGCGGCAAAGCCAGGCGCGTCTCGGAGTACGACAAGCATATGTTGGAGCAGTTGCGCTCAGATGACGCCCTCGAGAGAGCGGTATGCCTGGCGTGTCGCCCCGCGCAGCTGCACCGGTCACCGTCGAAGATAGGTGCGTTGTACACGTGCTACCAGTGTGGGAGCCTGAAGGGCATGGGGCACTTTGACCTGGGCCGGCTGAATATGCATGGGGGGCCCGAGTGCGTTGTGCGCAAGGAGTGCTTCGACCTGCGCATGCGTCCTCCTTGCGGGAAGTGCGGGGCTAGACCGGAACGCAATCTGAATCATAGTCAGAGAGATTACCAGTGTGAGGCCTGTAGATTCCCGAATTGCGACGTCTGCAAGGTAGCCCCGCGACCGCGGAGCACGAAGTACCTCTCAGCCAACATGCCGTCGTGGACGTGCTCGGCGTGCCCGCGGATCTCCCATTGCGAGGTCTGTGGCGCCCAGTCACCAGACGCGGCCAGAGCTGGTCGGCGCTACCAGTGTGAGGCTTGTAGACTCCCGAATTGCGACGTCTGCAAGGTAGCCCCGCGACCGCGGAACACGAAGTACCTTGCAGCCAACATGCCGTCGTGGACGTGCTCGGCGCGAGGTCTGTGGCGCCCAGTCACCAGACGCGCCCGGAACTAGTCGGCGCTCGGCGAATTGGGATGGGCCGAGGTACACGTGCGACGCGTGCCTGTACCCGCCATGCAGCGTGTGCAACAGCACGCTGCGGCCCCGTCACCACCATTACACAGTGCACGTCGTGCCCGCATGGAAATGCGCCGGTTGCGCGCAGACGCGCCGGCAAGGCAAGAAGGGCGTCTAAGGAAAAATGCGTGGCTGGCGCTGCGCCGCAGTTCGCCCAAGAGAAAAAGCAGTAAACTCCAGTCGTTGAATGGCCTTTGGGGCGCTTCTTTGGGCCATCCTGGGGGATTCTTGGGGACTTCCTGGAGGCCTCTTGGGGACTTCCTGGGGTCCCTTGGGGGCCTCTTTGGGGCCGCTTGGGGCCTTTGGGGCGTCTTGGGGCGTCTTGGGGGCGTCTTAGGCCGTCTTGGGGCGTTTTTGCGCTGTATCGCTCCTTGGAAGACCGTCCTGGGGGGTTCTTGGGGCTCTCTTGGGGTCCTTTGGGCCGTCGCAGGGGCCTCTTGGACCGTTTTGGGGGCCTCTTTGGGCCGTCTTGGGGCCCTCTTGGGCCGTCTTGGAGCCCTCTTGGGGGCTTTTGAGGCCATCTTGGTGCCATTTTGGAGGCTGCTTGGGCCGTCATTGGCTTCTGAGAGCCGACAAAGGCGAGAACGCTAAAATCTTCACAAAACTGTACGAAAATCAATGATTTTGGTTTCTGGAGGCGCTATTGGGGGTCCTCTTGGGGCCCTCCTGGGGCGTCTTGGGAGCTTTTTGGGCCCTCCTGGGGCTATCTTGGGCCGTCTTGGGGCCATTTTGGGGCTCTCTTGGACCGCCCTGAAGCCAGCTTGAACCGTCTGGACGCCCCTTGTGGGTGTCGAGGAGGGTCCAGAGTCCCAAATCAATGATTTCCATCGGTTTTGGTAGGGTTTCACAAAGTACGCGGAAACGGGTCGGAAACGGGTCGGCACCCCGGCGGCGGCCCTGGGGGGGGGATTAAGGGGGGTTGCTTTGCAATGTATAAGAATGCAATGTTTTGCAATTGGCCTTCCTTGACGCATCGTGGCTGGGCCCTGGCGTCACACACCCGCCCTGTCGGACTGCCGAGACGCTTCGCTGCAGTCCGGACGTGGATCTACGTGGCGCCGGACTGGAGGACGGACGATGTAGTGAATCAAGTGCCGAGGGTAGCAGTGAACTGCGCGGGGAGAGCGGTGGGCGACCAATGGAAAAGCTGCGCGCGTGGCATTCTCCCACGCCTCAACGTGCCAGGAGGCACGGTGGTGGATATAATCCGCCGGCCCCCTTGCGGGGCCACCAGGCTGTAGGGCCAGGGTTCGTTGCTCCCTGCACCAGTTGCAAGTTCCAGTTTCCACTGTTACAGGTTTGCTGTATGCTTCCTACTGTAAATTGTTACTGTCCGCGCGAGGGGGGGGAGCCGAGAAGGAACCTAGTCACCACGCCCGAATCACGTGCTCTGAATTCCTGAAGGGGTGTGTGGGACATGTAAGATACATACAAATTCGCACCCACGAAGCCATAAACCCTCGTGAGTTATACAACAGTCGCGCCCCCGAAGCCATAAACACTCGCGAATTACACCATACTCGCGGCCCCGAAGCCATAAACCCTGGCAAAATACACCATATTCGTGTCCCCGAAGCCATAAAGCCGTGTAAAGTATGCAATGCTTGCGTCCCCGAGGCCACAAACGCTTGCAAATTACGCAACAGTCGCGTCCCCGAAACCATAAACCCTTGTAAATTACGCTAGACTCGCGTTTCCGAAGCCATAAACCCTTGCAAAGTATTCAATATTTGCGTTCCCGATGCAATAAAGCAGTCACAACTACTCAATATTCGCGTCCCCGAAGCCATACACGCTCACACATTACGCTATATTTGCGCATCCGAAACCATAAACCCTCGCAAATTACGCATATTCGCGTCTCCGAAGCCATAAACCTGCGTAAATGACGGAATAGTTGCGAGCGCGAAACCATAAACCCACATAAATTACACACGATTCGCGAAACCGAAAGCATATTCGCGTGTCCGAGCCATCAACCTTTTTTGTAAATTACATTAAAATTATACTAGATTCGCGTCCCCGGAGCCATAAACCCTTGTAAATTACCTTATAATCTCAGCCAAGAAACCATTAACCCTCCTACTTTACACAACATTGGCGTCCCCGAGGCCATAAACCCTTGGGAATTACGCGATACTTGCGTCCCCGAGGCAACAAACGCTCGTAATTCACGGCGGCGCCAAGGCCTCATGACTTCGGTCTTGTATTGCCCTTCCTCCGAGAGAGAGGGGGTTGGCGGCATGGGGCGAAGCCCTTACAGATATCCTCATCCTCGTTGGCATCGTCATCATCATCGTCGTCATCATCATCATCATCAGTGTCGTCGCTGTCGTCATCGTCGTCTTCTCCTCATTGTGGCTGGCATGCGGAGCAGAAACATCAGCACTGCCCTCGTCATCATCGCCATCACCGCTCTCGGCATCCTCCTCTTCCTCCTCCTCTGGGCCGCGGGCGCCCCCGTGACGATCAGCACTAGCCTGCTCATCATCGTCACCAGTGGAATCCGTACCGTCCTCTCCGCTTTCAAAACCCTCGTTTCTGGCGTAGTCGCGATGTTCATCGTCATTATCAGCAACACCAGCATCAACGCCGAAATGTAGGTAATCATACTTGTGTTGCAGCAGCATGAGAAGCACCGGGGGGGGGATGAGGAGGAGAGCGAGGAGAAGGAAGAGGAGCGGGTAGAGGAGAGAGCTAGAGGAGAGAATGAGGAGGTTGTGGACGTTTTTGGTCGGCCTTTGGAACGTTTGCGGCCCTTTTCGGGCTTCCGGGGGACCCCGAGGACCTCCCGGGCCCTCCAGAGACTTCCGCGGGTCAGGATCTGGGGCGAGTTCAACTTATCACTCCTCATTATCCTCATCCGCATCCTCGTCCTCCTTTCATCCTCTCCCTCTCCCCTCTCCTCACGCCTCATCCACATCATCGTCCTCCTCCTCCTCGTCATTAGCGTCGTCACCATCAGCAGCATTATCATAATCGTCGTCACCATCATCATCGTTGTCGTCATCATCGTAATCATACATTCATCATCATCATCATCATCATCATCATCACCACCACCATCACCACCACCACCACCACAACCATCCTCATCATCATCATCATCATCATCATCATCATCATCATCATCATCATCATCATCATCATCATCATCATCATCATCATCATCATCATCATCTCATCATCAGCATCATCATCGTCGTCATCCTCATCCTCGTTATCTTCACCCTCCTCCTCATCTTTGCTCTGCCTGTCTCTCGCTCTCTCTCTCTCTCTCATGTTCTCATCCCCCTTGTCTTTAGCGCCGTCATGATCATGGTCATCGTCGACGCCGTCATCATCATCATCATCATCATCATCATCATCAGCATCATCATCATCATCGTCACCACCATCGTCATCACCATTATCATCATCATCAGCATCATCATCAGCATCATCATCATCAGCCACATCGTCGTCACGATAAATGTCAACATCCATCGCGCTATCGATTTCAATATCGCTCGCATAGCGTAGCATAGCACTCCTCGTGCCACGTGATATCACTGGAGACCATGGGACACCAAGGGACACCCCCACGCCTCTGGACACCGTAGCATACCAGAACGTCGCACACCAGAACATCGCAAAGCATGGCAGAGCATCGCATATCAAAGCATCCCACAGCATAGCTTTGCATATCACAGCATAGCATAGCATCATATCACAGTTTTCACAGCATCGCATAACAGAACGCAGCTACTACAGGACACTCACGGAACACCTGCGGGACTCCCGCGAACCACCACGAGACACCACGCGAAACCACTGGATACCACGGGACACTGGCGAGATCCCCTTGGTCCAGACCATTCCTGCACATCCTCCACATCATTCCTTCTCATCCTTCTCTTTCTCAGTCCTCCTCGGCCTCACACCGCCCCGTCCTCACACCCGATGGCTCCTCGTCCTCCTCACAAGCCACACTTCCTCATTGCTTCTCCTTCCACCTCCTTCTCCCTCTCCCCCCCCTCCTCCTCCTCACACCGCATCGTTCCTCCTCCTCAGTCCTGCTCCTCCCCATGCCCTTCTTCCCCCTCATCCTTCACTCCTCTCCCGTCACGCATTAGCGTGCTCCGTCCTTCCTTCTCCTCGTCCTCCTGGTCGTCCTCCTCCTCATCCTCCCCCTCCTGGCGCCGGCGCCGGTGCCGGTGCCGGTGCCGGTGCTGGCGCTGGATGCCGGTGCCGGCGCTGGTGCCGGTGCCGGTGCTGGTGCACCGTTGCTTGTGCCGGTGCCGGTGCCGGTGCCGATGCCAGTGCCAGTGAGCGAGAACCGCTCCGTAGTGCAGGGCCCCTTGGCCACCGCTAGGACCAAGAAGGTGAAGAGCTCTCAGATCGCGATGTTGTTCTGCCCCTCTCCGAAGACTTCCCCGAAGCGCCTCATGACAAGGCTGGCTCGCACAGGAGGGCCCGCATCTTCCTCACTTTTTCCTCCTCTGGAAGCTGGAAGGTCTCCTGCTCCGCGTTGATATGGATTCCTCAACAGCTCTGGTCTGTGGAGAACTCTCCCACCTGCGCTTTCTTGTCCTCCTTGATAGCGTCGGGTCCGAATACGTGGCACACCTCCTCCTCCGCCGGCCTCCCCGACATGAGGACGTCGTCATCCATGAGGACACGGCAGTGGAAAAGCACGTCGCCGCGCCAGCTGGGGCCCTCCAGCTGGCGCCGATCATAGCAATGCTTCAGGGCGGCCCGAAAGGCCATGCACTTCCTGGGGGTCCCCGATCCAACCGAAGGTCAGGACCATGAAGATGGTTACCACATTTCCTTCCAGCCAAACTAGCATTCCCAATCGCTCCGTGGCAAACATGCCGGAGTCCTCCGTCTTCAACCAGATCCATCGGAACGCATCTGCAATGTCTCTTTTTGCGATGGCGATTGGGATTCCTGGCTGACCTTTCCTCCACCAAAGAGCTTCCCTGGCCAGAGCCGCACGCCTTGGCTGGAGTGCAGGCGGATGTAGGCAGGTGTGGCCCGTTTCGTTCGTCGCCCTCTGATCGCGCATGAAGCGCCCCCCTCCCCCGAGATTGCGCGGTCTGGGCTCATTTGGGGCACCCGGCCCCACAGCGAGGACACGACCCTCCGCGAGTAGTGTTCAGAACGGTGTCCGCATAGGAGCACCCCCCTTCTTGGCGCCCTTTCAGAGCTTCTCCAGTACCTCCCCCACGTCCCCCGCTTACGCCCTCGCGCGCCAGCGAGGGGGCCCGCACCTCCACCAGCAGTTGACGTGCAGGGGCCCCTTCCCTCACCATCTCATGGAGGTGGTCCCTCAAGTCTTCGTCTATTAACTCGCCTACCTTTCCCCTAGAACCCCCATCCAAGTCGTTGCCCTTGCGGACCGTCCACTCCTGTCGGTACGCGACCACCGCTGCTCCCGAGCCCGCCGCCGACTGTATTGGGGTATTCCCCAACCGTGCCCCTTCACGGATAGCCTCCGGCGAGTACTTCGGGTGCTCTTCGTAGCGGCGGCAGAGCGCTGCCGCGCACGCCCTTACCACCTCTTCCCTTTTAGGTCCCCATCCTTACCATTATCACTCTGAAAATTGAGGTTCGCATTTCAAAGTTGGAGGGCGGGTCCTTTTCACAATGACGCTCTCTCCTCATTGCCGCGATCATTCATCTTAAAAGTTTGCAGCAGGTTCATGGATGGAGGGCAGCTCATTATCAACATGTTGTTCTCGCTCTAGCGCCGCGCACATTCGTTTTCAAAGTCTGCAGTTGTTTCACGGGTGGAGGGCGGGTGCCCTTTCAAAATGCGTCTCTCGCCTTAGCGCCGCGCACATGTGTCTTAAAAATCAATGGAAATGTCCTGCATTCGTGGCGTAAGTGGCGAGGAATATTGTTCTGGCACGACTTAGGATTGTCAGGACGCAGCACTCGGGTCGATTCGCGGCGTTGAGGTTCCAGGAAAGGTGATTTGGCGATACAAGGTTCTCAGACGGTTGCCTCTGAATGGGGCAATTCCCCAAAAATAGCATGAATTCCTGCAGGGGCCTGTGAAGAGTGAACTTGGGGGATGGGATTATTGCAGCATCGTTGTTGCGTCTGGGTTTACACGTGTCCTCCTCCTCCTCCTCCTCATCATCATCATCATTATCCTCCTCATCATCATCATCATTCTCCTCCTCCTCCTCCTCCTCCTCCTCCTCATCATCATCATCATCATCATCAACATCATCATCATCATCATCATCATCATCATCATCATCATCATCATCATCATCATCATCATCATCATCATCATCATCATCATCATCATCATCATCCTTCCCCCGCCCCCGGCCCGTCTCTGGGGAACAAAAAAATAAGGATACTACTACTCCCTGGACCTCTCCCAGGGCGCGTTCTGACCAGGCTTTCGAAAAGGATCCAGCCGTGGAGGCGAGGGCTCTCCAGGACGAGCATCGGTATCGGTGCACTTCCCTCCTCAAATTCTCCCGCTCGACCGCTCCCAGCACGCCCCCGCGCCCCAGGCGAAACCTGGTGGCCAGGCCAAAGCCGCCGCTGAATTCAGTGCACCGCGAGCGCACGCCCGAAGGGGCGACAGCACCCTTCGTGGCGCCCGCCCGCCCCGCCGGCGCGCGGCGGGCTGTGCAGTGCAGAGGAGGAGGAGGAGGAGGAGGAGGACCAGTGCAAACCCAAGGGTCACCAACGACATTGGAAGTAGCCCTCCCCCAAGCTCCCTCGTCATAGGCCCGTACAACGGTTCATTTCCACAGAGGGACCTGCCTCGTTCGAAGACATCCGTTTGAAAACCCTGAAACATGCTAAAGCATTGTTCTCGATAAACTTAGAAACTGTTGCGTCTTGGCGATTCAGAACGCCGTTCCTGGGACTTCTACACCGCGAAGCAGCGTAATTGTTGCGCCCCCCATAATCGCGAATCCTTCTGTTCTGAAACACAATTTCTGGTACGTCGTTCATGGGAATCCGTGAAATTCTTCTAATTGTTTAAGAAAAATGGTCGCGGCGCTATCGCGAGAGCCAAATGTTGAAAAAGAACCGCTCTCAATCCGTCAAACACTAGCAATAGTTTACAACGAATGTGCACCGCGCTACCACGAGAGCCATATTTTGAAAAGGAGCCGCTCTCGATCCATGAAACTTCTGCTCTTTGTTACAACGAATGTGCGCCGCTCTGGTGCGATAGCCACATCTTGAAAAAGAGCCACCCTCAATCAATCAAACTCTTGCATATTTTGACAGCAAGTGCACGCGGCGCTAAAAAAGAGAGAGAGAGAGAGAAAGAAAGAAAGACAAATTTTGAAAACGACACGCCCTCAATCCGTGAAGCTCTGGCAAAGTTTGAAAACGAATGCGCGCGGCGCTAATGCGAGAGCCACATTTTGAGAACCACCCGCCCTCAGTTTGCGAAACTCTTGCAAACATTTCAAACGAATGCGCCTGGTGCTAATGCGAGTGCCACATTTTGAGAACCACACGCCCTCCATCTGTGAAACCGTTGCCAATGTTTGAGATTCAGGGTCATCATTGGTGAGGGAATATCAAGCGAAACGCCCAGACCGCCCTGAAAACTGGCCTCGGGATGAGACAGGGAGAAATTATGACAAGTGTAAACCCAAGAGTCGTCAACGATGTTGGAGTAAACCCTCCCTCCAAGTTCCCTCTTCATGGGCCCCTACAACGGTTCGTGTCCATTTAAGGAACTGCCTTTTTGGAAGACTACCGTTTAAGGATCCTGAAGCATGCCGAAACCTTTCTCTCGAGATTCCAACGCCACGGATCAACCTGACTGTTGCGTCTTGACAATTATGACCCGTGCCAGAACACCATTCCTGGGACTTCAACACAGCGGACCAACATAATTGCTGCACTCGCACAATCCTGAACCCTTTCAAAACCCAATTTCTGACATCTTGATGATGGGATTCCGTGAAACGGTTGCTATGTTTAACAAGAATGTGCGCGGCGCTATGGCGAGAGCCACACAATCCATGAAAATCTTGCGCATGTTGACAACAAGTGCACGCGGCGCAAAAAAGAAAGCCACATTTTGAAAAAGAGCCGCCCTCAACCCATCAAACTCTTGCAATTGTTGTACAACGAATGTGCGCCGCGCTAAGGCGAGAGCCACATTTTGAAAACGACCCGCCCTCAATCCGTGAAGCTCTTGCAAAGTTTGTGCGCCGCGCTAGGGCGAGCGCCACATGCTGAGAACCACCCGCCCTCCATCTGTGAAACTGTTGCCAATTTCAGAACTTCAGAATCATAAATGGTGAGGAAGTCTCAAGTGAAGAATCATAAATGGTGAGTGCGACAGGGAAAAACTATTTACATGGAAAAGGAATGGAGGAGCACACGAGCCCAGGAGAGGGGGAGCGGCGGCACGAGCACGACAAAGAGGACTGGGGAGAAAGGAGGCCCGTCCCACGATGTTGGCCGCGCCTCTTGGTGCAGTTTCGCAGCCCTCGCCGCGCTGCGCCCCAGAGACCAGTGCAAACCCACGAGCCATCAACGATGTTGGAATGAGACCTCCCTCCAATCTCCCGCTTCATAGGCCGCTGTAACGGGTCATTTCCATGTGGGGAACTACACCTTTGAAAGACAACTGTTTGAAGACCTTGAATTTCCACGCCACGGATCAACCTGACTGCTGCGTCCTGACGATCTGGAATCGTGCCAGAAAGCCGTCCTTGGGACTTCAACACCGCTAATCAACATAACTGTTGCGCCCACAGAATCCTGAATCCTTCCAAAACAATATTTCTGGTACGATGATGAGGGGAATCCGTGAAACTCTGCCCAATGTTAAAACCGAAAATGCGCGGCGCCAATGCGAGAGCCACATTTTGAAAACCACCCGCCCTCAACCCTCAATCCGTGAAACTCTTACAAATCTTTAAAAACGAGTGCGCGCGGCGCAAAGGCGAGTGCCACATTTTGAGAACCACCCGCCATCCATCTGTGAAACGGTTGCCATTCTTAAAACTTCAGAAATGTGAATGGTGAGGACGTCTCAGGCGACACGCCCGGCCCTCCCTAAAAACTGGCCTCGGGGATCTACAGGGAGAAGGTTATTTTAAGGGGAAAGGAATGGAGGAGGAGGAGGAGGAGGAGGAGGAGGAGGAGGAGAGGAGGAGGAGGAGGAGAAAGGGGGAGGGAGGAGGAGGAGAGGAGAGGAGGGAGGAAGGAGGAGGAGGAGGAGGAGGAGGAAGGGGGAGGAGGAGGGAGGAGGAGAGGAGGAGGAGAGGAGGAGGAGGAGGAGGAGGAGGAGGAGGAGGAGGAGGGAGGAGGGATAGGAGAGGAGGAGGAGGAGGAGGAGGAGGAGAGGAGGCAGAACGAGGAGGAGGAGGAGGAGGAGGAGGGAGGACGAGGAGGAGAAGGCGGAGGAGGGAGGAGAGGAGGAGGAGGAGGAGGAGGAGGAGGAGGAGGAGGGAGGAGGAGAGGAGGAGGAGGAGGAGGAGGAGGAGGAGGAGGAGAGGAGAAGGAGGAGAGAGGAGGAGAGGAGGAGGAGGAGGGGAGGAGGAGGAGGAGGAGGAGGAGAAGGAGGAGGAGGAGGAGGCGGAGGAGCAGGAGGACCAGAGTAAACCGAAGATGCATCAGCATCGCAGCGCAATCACTGCGCATTGGCCTTTGACCTTGGACTGGGCCGGCGAGTTACCAGGCGCATGATCGAACCCCCACCACCCATGTCAGAAGCGATGTAAAATGTTGATGGGGCGCCCGCTCATGGTCCAGTGTTTGCGGCCACGTTCACTGTGCAGTTCTCGTAGGCAGGGATTGCGAGGGGGATTACGTTGTGTCGGATCGGCGGCCTCTCCAGGGGGGGGGGGGAGAAATGGCTATCAATGGTCGTCAGCGGTAAAGGATGTTGAAAAGAGAAGGGGAGAAGCGGGAAGGAGCAGTGCGTCATTGCACTGCGAAAGTAAAAACAATGCGGTGTTGGCGATGTGGTGAAAGCTGCGTCGCATACTTGATGTGGTACGAGCTACGGAGGTGAAAACAACGCAGTGTAAGCAATATGGTGAAAGCTGTGTCGCGTAAGCTATGTGGTGCGAGCTGTGGAGGCGAAAACTTTGCGATCTAAGCTTTGTGGTGTGGGATATATCATGTAAGCAGTGTGATCTGGCGGCGAAAACTCTGGGGTGCAAGCTATGTGGTGTAAGCCACGTTATGTGAAAAATATGCGGCGTAAGCTACGTGGTGTGAACTATATGTAAGCTATGCGGTCAAAACTAAGTCGTGTACGCTTGGAGCACGTGACGCCCACGAGGCGCCCAAGAGGCGGCACGGGCGGCGACGTGCCACCAACCTCGGCATACCCCCCAAGCGCAAGCGCCCGCGAGGCGCCCACGAGGCGGAACCGGCGGCAACGTGGCGACAACCAAGAGTACGAGACCAGTTGCTTAACACAGCAAAATAAGAAACCCTAAGTGCAAGCACATTTCTGGGGATGACAAGCAACCAACAAACCAATCAACAACAAAAACTGGGTGCAAGCACAATTTGGGGGGAAAGGGTGAAGGGCTACGGGGGAAAAAACAACATGGGTCGGACATTGCAAACGAATGAAAACATGAGAACGAAGAAGGAATGCGGAAAGTAGAAAAAAGGATAAGTGAGCGCGAGAAGAGATAAGGGATACATGAAAATGAAAACGCAGTAAATGAAGCAAGGAGAAAGGCAGCGTCTTATAGCTAGGTGAAATGCACTCGAAGGATCACACAACATCGCAAGATGAGAAATGGAAAGAGGACTGAGATAATGATAGAAAGGTTTGAAGATAGATAGATCGATAGATAGATAGATAGATAGAGATATCTCTATACATATAGGAGAAAGGTATATAACAACAAAAAATGCGATAATACTGGAGAACATTGTCAAAAGATACCATGGAAGAATCTAAATAAAGCAAGAACAAGGAAACGGGTGGCGGGGAGGTAACGTTAACAAATGAATCGGATAAGAACCTCACAACACATGGCGCAACGCAACCAAACAATAAATAAATGCGGGCAAGACAAATGGCAAAAGGTGAACGGAAAGACGATATGGACACGGGAACGGGAAGCGAGGAAAGAGGAAAAGGGGAATGAGAAAAAGAAAGCTGCATACATAAACACGGACGAATAAAAACTAGGCTACAGCAATGAAGAAACCCAACGGAAACACATGAAAACTGGTACGAGATAGAGGTGAACGGGAAAAGCGAAAAGCGGAAAAAGGAAAAGGGGAAAGGAGAAACAGAAGGAAAGGGGAAAAAGGGGAAGAGACAAATGAGAAGGGAAAGGGGGGATACGGAAAGAGGGGGAATCTGAAAGGGGAAAGGGGAAAATGGAAGGAGAAAGGTAAAGGGGAGTTGTGGAAGGGAAAGATTATGCTTATGATTGCTTGATGGTTGCAAATGTCTATGCATGTGTGTATGCAGGTATACACGTATGTCCAACTGAGGCCAGGGCGGCTAAAGGCACCGGGGGGAGGGCCCGCTGCCTCTGAGAGAGGGCGGGGTGTCGGAAACGCGGGCGCGGGTTGCGACCGCGCCAGGGCCTCCACCTCCAGAGGCGGCCCCAAAAGTGGAGCCAACAGGGCCTCACCCTCAGGTCCACGGGGACGGGCGCGCTGGTCTTCGAGACGAAAGGGGGGAGGAGGAAGGGAAGGGAAGGCAGGTTCAATCGGTATCAAATCGGGAGATCG